AGGGCTCACGCCAGGTTGAATGCTCCTTGAGTCCTAGCCGAGAGACAGTCTTCAGGGGCCACTCCCATCAGTAGTGAACAAACTAGTTAAATGTTTTTTCAAGGCCTGCATGGAAGTCCTCCACTTTTGGCCCCTGAGGGCCTCAAGTTTCAGCCTTGCCTTGAGTGCAGTGTGCTCGTCTTGATACTGGCTGACGAGGAGGTCCGCAAGAGTACGTGCAAGAGTCGCTTTCAGCCACTCAGTCAGGTCGATCCTTTCCTAACCTGCATTAACAGCTTGGATGGAGTTCAATAAAACTCCTTACGGCGGGTTTAATATTTGTGCCCATGGTCATACTTCGGTCTTCCTGCGGCGTACGGAGTACCTCGAAGAATGAGCGCATGGAGTTGATCCAAGAGGTGATGTCAGTGTGACTGCCCTCATGTCCACCATTGGACCGTTGTATTGTACGCCAGCAAGGACTGCGGCGTTTTGGGCTGATGATCCTGCATTTGGGATTGGGACCAATGCAGAACTGTCAGCGCTGCCGCTTGAAGAGCTGGCACCGGTTCCTGCGCAAGTCACAGTTCCACTTGACCTTTGCATGTGGACTGGGTTAGGGGAAAAGGTTGGGACTGCAGCAGGACGAGAAGGACGAGGGATGGTCAGTTGGGCCTGCTTGAGGTTTGCAATCTCAGCCAGAAGCTCTTGATTTCGCTGTTCTAGAGCTGTCACACGGGACTTGAAATTTTCTAGAGTCTATAGTTGGACCAAGGCTGTTACAGCAGCAGCTAACTTTTTTGCAAACCAAGCATCTCCGGTTTCCAGAATAGTTAAGAGGGCTATTTGACCAGCAATGCTTGCTGATCTAGCCATGACTTCTGCCTCCCTTTCTCTACGCAACACATCGTCATAAAGTTTTTGAAAGAACGGTTTCTCATTCTCGTCTGCTGCGTCCAGCATGGCCTGCCATTGGGCAGATGAGATGTCTGCCATGCCGGAGGATGGGGTGTCGGTAGATCTCTCAAGAGGGTTCCACTCTTTGCTCACGTTTGGACGAATGCTCCTCTTACCTCTCCTCACACTCTCAAAAAGAATACCTTCTCTCTCCCTTCTCTCTCTTTCCGCTTTCTGCGCACGCGTCTCAATGCTGGGCATCAATAGTTCAGATAAAGAAAGAGAAAACAGAAACATCACAAGAGCAGAAGGTAGAACTCCTAGCCGGAGCGGCAATTCATTTGGACTTAGAGAATGACACTCATGCAGCAGAACTTAAAATAAAATAAAATAAAAGCAATTCAAGAGAGGACTTAAATAACCGGTCCGGTCAGATTAGCTGGAGATCCCCTCTTGTCTAACCTCACATGGAACATGTACCACGAATAAGTCAGCCGAAGAAGACTAACTGCAGCAATGGAGATTTCGAGTGGTGCAGACGGTTGTCGAGCCAGATGTGGGGCAGTGTGTGCGAACATGCAGTAAGACCAGTCATGTCCCTTGTCCCCCGAATTCAGCACAGCAAAGAAATGCACTGATGGCAACAGATTTGGGGCTGAAGGGTCCTGTCCATACTTGCGGCTCACCAGTGCGGTGCGGTGCGCCGTGCGGGATGCGTTCACCCACACCGCATGTGCGCGGTGCGCGCACCGGTTGTGCTGTGCGGGACGCGCGTCAAAATCCGCTGCCGGGCAGGGGTGTGCGCTGTGCCGTTTTCCTTTTTTTTTATGGTGTGTGTGTGTGTGTGTGTGTGTGTGTGTGTGTGTGTGTGTGAGAGAGAGAGAGAGAGAGAGAGAGAGAGAGAGAGAGAGAGAGAGAGAGAGAGATCCGTTCGACCTCAGCACGCATCCACAACGGATGGTTTTGGCGGCGCATGGTGATGTAGAAGGTATGCCATCCGAGACTTGGACGAATCTGACAGCAATCACGTCCAGAGCTTAGTAGAAAAAGTCCGCGTGTGAGTATGCCGTACACTCAGACCTTTTCTACTAAGCTCTGGACGTGATTGTGGTCAGATTCGTCCAAGTCTGGCCGTAAGTGCCATCAAATACATTTCTGGAAGTGCTAGTGTCAGTCCTCAGGTAAGCTCATAACGTATCTCTGGAACCTTTCTTCTTTTTTTTTTTGGAGAATCTCTGGACAAATGAAATTGAATCCTCTGCTTGAACATGGAAAGATGCATTGCCATATTTGTCTTGTGTGCATGTCGAGAGCAGTGCAGCGAGGCCGTTGGTGCATAGTCCCGTTGAGGTTCTGACAGGTAGGACGCGCGGGGCTTCGCTCCACCAGTCACCACATGATCAAAAGAGAAATCCGAGGGCGATGTATCTTTCCATGTTCTACCTGAAGATTCATTCTCTTTTCTCACAGTTGGGGCCTCTTCTGATGGATTCGGGCGACAGGTAAGTCATTCTGATTTTTTTTTTTTTTTTTTTTTTTTTTTGATTCTGTCAGTTTCGTCGTGTCCTACTTCAGAAGTAATAACAAGCGAACGTTTTGAGAGATCGCGACCCTCATCATGATTGAATCTGGCCTGCAAGAACCCTACCATACATACAGAGTGCTACACGGACTACAGGTTTTACTAAAAGCTTTCAGACCAACGCGCGGCCTCCAAAAAACTTTTGGGTGCCCGTTTCTTATTTTATGCGAGCAGGGGGCCGGGTCTACTACCGCCCCTCACAACTTTTTTTTTTTTTTTTTTTCGACTTGTATTTTTAGAGGTGCGCCGCATGCAGTGCGTGCTCATAGTGCGTGATGCGCGGTGCGGCGCATCGCGATGCGCCGCATGTATGGTCCTGTCCCATTGGGCCCGGCCCCACTGAGTCCCGAAGGAGTAGGTTGTGGACCAGGACCAATCAGAAAGGTGTCCCAAGACAGTCCCAAACTGCCTCCACCGCACTGAAAAAGAAAAAGACTCTCCTTCTTCGGGCTGCTTGCCATATCCAGGCTGAGCGCTCAGCTGCTGTCCTTCTCCAGGCAGCGGTCCCAAGTCCAGCCCTTGGCTCCAGCAGTATGTCGCCAATCCTTGCACACCGCAAAAGAGGAGCTGCTTGCTCCTCCCGAAGATATAGCGGCCTACTGGCCTCTTGGGCTGTGACTTCCTAGGCTGAGCGGCCTCCCAGCAACTGGTACCTCCTCCCTTTCGGAGGGAAACATCATTGCAGGCTCTGATATCGTCCGGACAGGCCTTAGACTCAGGCTACTTGGACAGGTACCGACCTACCTCTAACCTACCGCTACTGGGCCTCTAAAAATGTCATCTTTTGTCTTCTTCTGCTTGGCCTCCAGTACACGACACTTCTCACTACTTGAGTGGTACCTACCTACCTGCTACTTGAGTGTTTTTCCTGCTGCTCTAAGTGTCGTGGGCCTACCCCCGCTACTTGCGTGTTTTCCCTTTTGCAACCCTCAAAGTCACGGCCACAGTTAAGTACCGGCCCTGCGGGGCCTTTCAACCAACAAGTACCCTTGCGGGTCACACACACACTCAGGCCGAAAAGCACTCAGACAGGCACGCACACACACAGACTTTGAAATCACAGCAGAATGCGGGAATCTCAGCAAGGCATACATCCCAGCGGCAAATCCCAGTGTTCTCAGTCTGTGTTTTGGCTGGTCATTACACTACAAAAACTTACTACTGGTCTATTCTGCATGATTTCACCCATTATCTTGTTAACAAATTCATAAGAGGTCGTCTGTAAAAATCACCATAGCTTAACACTGCGAGGCCACTGCCTCTATGAGCCCCATACGGCCCCATTTTGAAGCCAGTCGGCCGCCCTAAGTGAAGGCAGGCTCGTTGAGGCTCTTCAGGGCCCTATTTTGGTCACCACGCAACTTGAGGAAATTCAGGCAGTTGCGCAGCGCCAGTTGGTTGAGAGAACCCAGGCCCTGGGCCGCCTGTGTGAATGTATGGAAAGCAGGCCCTGGGCTGGATACGGGTACTGGGCCAAGCACAGGCCAAAGGCAGTTGGGTACATGCAACCACTTCAGGCCCAAGGCCTGTTCTCGTTCGTGCTGGGCCTCAGGCTACCGGGGCCCACTGGAAGCTTCCTGGTACTGGACGCAAGCAGGCCACTTCGATATAGCAAAGGGCCTGCCTCCACATTCGGCTTTCGGGTGCTGGCTGCATGCTGCGCAAGCGCTGCCGCGCTGAAGCTCGCTGGCACTCACGCTCGCACGGGCGAGCAGGAAGGAGCGGGCAGCCATAGCCGAGCTGCTCCGCTGTGAGCTGGGTGTGGCGCAGGGTGGTCCTTCGGTGCAAGTGGCATCTGTGTGTTGGGGAACGAGGTTGTGAGTGAGGCGAGAGACATAACTGGTGCTGGAAGCGTGCGACATTGGTCGATGTATGCTCGTACTTCGGGAAAGCTGTTGACATCATCATTCGGCATTGTAGTCTAGGCTAGTTAGGATCTGCCATCTGTAGTCTGGGCGCCGAGTGCCAGATAGGATATCAACATTGGTTCTTCATTGATGATGATGATGAGACTTTACCCGCATTGTCAATTATGAGCTCTTGGTGTCTTCTTATTTGGTGAAACTCGTGATGCAATTCTGCTGTTGGTTCGAGGTCACGACTATCTGGTCTTGTGTACATGATGCTGTTTGATTGTTGAAGTTCGCTATTGCTCATCTTCCTTGCAACACGATGCACGAACTGGGAATGGAACTCTCTGTGTGCGTTGTCTTTCCTCCAAACATGGGTATACCGACACATGAGAGCATGCTGTTTTCCTTTTCTTTTCGAAAAAGGACTCAGGTTTAGGAATCAGGGAAGCCTACGGTCTCCATGTCGGTACGACACATATGACTTTTTTTTTCTCTCTGAAGAGTTGAGGTGCAACTCCACCAGCTAGCTCGCTGATGGGTAAATGAAGAAAGCAGCAGATCTTTCACCTTCCGCTGTTTTGTGCTGACCTATGCAATTTTCATGATGAGGTGATCTGATGGCTGACTCTCTGGCTGTCTGTCTGCTTCTGTCTGGTGCCCGTCTTTCCTTTGTGTCTGTCTTCATTCAGTATGCTTTACGGAAGCTGTACCATGAAAGTGACCGATTGATTGCTGTATTGTACACGTCTCCGACCTGTGGGCCATGCAGAACGCTGAAGCCAATCCTGAACAAGGTAAAGTGTAATTCCCAAAGGAAAAGAATTCTCGCCTTTTCTTTCCCGTCTTTTGTAATTGTTCCTGTTGATCAGTTCTTTTTATTCCTTACAGTACGTTTGCAGTCGAACTAGGCTACCAGCTGGCCTGCATATGGGGTTTCTCCACACCTGGAGTTGGATTGGGGCAGATCCCATACTTGTCCGTGGGCAACCACTGCCTGAAGAGAAGGTTCGAGATGATCGGTTGCAAGAGGGAGAGAGTGGGTGTTCCAGGCCCCGTACGGCTGTGGACAGGTCCTGTTGGTGGCCGCATGTCCTCTCCCCTCTCTGTTTCTCCTCCTCCTGCTGCTGCTGCTGCTGGCTCTATAGTACTGCTTCTACTGCTTCTACTGCTTCTACTGCTTATGCTTGTACTAGTGCTTATACTGCTGTTACTGCGACCACTGCTACAACTGCTACTGCTACAACTGCTACTGCTACAACGGCTACAACTGCTACTGCTGCTACTGCTGCTACTGCTGCTACTACTGCTACTACTGCTACTACTGCTACTACTGCTGCTGCTGCTGCTGCTACTGCTGCTACTGCTGCTACTGCTGCTACTGCTGCTACTACTGCTACTACTGCTACTACTGCTACTACTGCTGCTGCTGCTTCTGCCACTGCGACTGTGGCGACGATTATAGAACCCCTTACGAACCTTCAAACCACCATCCCTTGGACAAGAAATCATGTCAGATTCTGGGTTTGCTGGTCAAATACAGTGCCAATGTGCACCCAGGTCCTGTGCTGCGTTGCTCGATGGACTACCGTCTTCACCCGAAAATAACGCCCGGGCGTTATATTCAACTTACCCTAAAAAGTGTGAGGCTCAAGTCCTCGATAAGCCCTACTGGGCCCTCTCTTCAGTACAGTCGGCCGCCCTAAGTGAAGGCAGGCCTGACCAAGGCCTATTTTGGGGTCTCAGGCAGTTGCGCAGCGCCAGTTGGTTGAAAGCGCCCAGGCCCTGGCTACTTTTATCAAATGCATCTGAGTCAGGCCCTGGGCGACGCAACAAGGACCCAACACAGGCTGCGAGCAGTTCGGCACTGGTAACTGTCACAGGCCCTGGGCCTGATTCGTTCAGACTGGGGCTCAGCCTCCCGGGGCCTACCGGACGCTTCTGGGCCGGGGCCCGGTGCAGCCAGGTCACACACAGCAGGCAGGCCACTTCCATATAGGAAAATGCCTGCCCCCGCATTCCTCATCCGGGCACTGGCTGCATGCTGCGCAAGCGCTGCTGCGTTAAACGCTGGCCAGGCTCACGCGCTCACGGGGGAGTGGGGAGAGCAGGCAGCCATAGCCGAGCCGCGCTGCATCGCTGGATGGGGCACATGGTGGTCCTTGGGTGCACGTGGCATCTGTGAGTGGGGGATCGAAGTTGTGAGTGATACGAGAGACATACCTGGTGCTTGAGGCGAATGGCATTGGCCGAGAGCTGCTCGTACTTCGGGGAGCTGTTGACGTCACCAGCGCCGCATTGTAGATATGCTAGATAGGATCTGCCATTTGTAGTCTGGGCGCAGAGCGCCAGATAGGAAGTTCGACATTGGTTCATTGTTGATGATGATGGGACTATTCCAACATTGTAGCTTGTGAGCTTTTGCTGTGCTCTTATTTGGTGGAACTCGTGTTGCAATTCTGCTTTTGGTTCGAGGTCACGACTATCTGGTCTGATGTGTATGATGCTGCTTGGTTTCTGAAGTTCGCTGTCGCTCATTTTCCTTGCAAATTTGGTATGGGAGTTGTGGTCCGGTGCGCTCATCTGGTGCTCGTCTTCTGCCTATGCGGTACATGCNAGTTCGCTGTCGCTCATTTTCCTTGCAAATTTGGTATGGGAGTTGTGGTCCGGTGCGCTCATCTGGTGCTCGTCTTCTGCCTATGCGGTACATGCATGTGGTCTGCTGGGCGAGCGGCCGTAGGGAGTGTGTAGTGAGGAGGGCGAAGGCAAGCAGGGCGACCCAGGAGGTGAGGGGTATCGCCAGGAAGGCTACGTGGTGAATATTTTGGTGTTCGCAGTGTGATGAGAACTATCTGATGGGCGCTTGATGCTGAGGTGGAACGGCGGTGTAATGCTGGTTGTGCCGAAGCAGCGATTGGTCATCACAGTCGGCATCGGGTCATCTGGTGAGAATATCTGTGGTTGGGGGCAGCTATTTTGAGGTTCGTTGCACCTAATGTGAGGATTGAGCCCTCAAGAAGGGGCCTTGCCATGATGTACATGTTCTGGGCTAAGGCCCCAGCAAGCCTAGTGCCCGCCCTAAGTGAAGGCGGGCCAGCAAATCAACAAGAGCCCTCTGTGCAAACATTTCCCGAAGTGGGGTCCATACAGTTGCAGCACGCCAGTTGGTTGGAGTGCACCGAGTCTCGAATCTCTGCAAATGTGGAGATCCCAGGGCCTCTGAGTTAGTTAGGCCCTGGGCACTTGAACGTGAGGCCGACAATGCATGCTGGGTATAGAGGCCGAAAATGCCAAAGGGAAATCGGCCCACTATCTGAATCTGGCCGCAGGCCTTAACGAAAGAGGTGCAACTGCATCACCCAGGCCCCAACTGCATCGGGCCTGGGTTCACGCACTGGGGCCCAGTTGCAGGCTAGAGGGATGCCGCCCACACGCAGCACTCGCATATAGGCAAGCAGGGCGAGTGGGCAGGGATCTTGGCCATTGCGGGCAATGCCGGCACGCTGCGCTAATGCGAGCTGATGCGCTGCGCTAGGAAGAGGTGCAAGGCAGGCAGGCGCTAGGCGGTAGGGCGCTGCCTGTGCACTGTGCGCGGGCGGCCATAGCCAGGCTGCATAGGGCGCAGGGGAGGTGAGGGCGAAGGTGGTTCTTCGGAGGTGAAGGGCGCTGTGTGGGTAACAAGGGAGAGTGTGGGTGAAGAGGACACGTACCTGGTGGAGGTGGAGGTCGGCATTGGTGTTGACATCATCACTCGCTGGTAGTCAAGTTGTCTGGTTGCTTTCATTGCTGTAGTTGTAGGCTAGGCTGTAGAGTAGATAGGGCGCCTGGCGCCATTCACAAGAGAGAGCTACATTGGGTTATGCCGTTGGTGTTGCCCTGTTGGGCTTGGACATTGACTCACGATTCTTCTGTATCATTCTCAAATGGATGGTTGCTCGGTTCCATTGTGCTATCTGCTCTGGCTTTGACTACTTGGACTTCAGTGTGATTTTGCAATCTGGATTTCTGTGCTTCATCCATATTCATGTTCCTTGCACTAACCTTATCTACCCTCTTCGACACTTCTTACCGTGAGGATGTGTTCTATCTTGAGAGTCCTCTCATATGAGGAGTTGAGTGCGCTCAACCTTGAGCGTCGGCATTGTTCACGTGCGGCATCTGGAAGGAGACGGCGGAGCTATTTGAAGGGCCCTGGATGAAGCATTGGGTCACGGTCACCATGCCAACCCACCGGGAGTAGAGCACACATGCTTTGCTGCTTTGTCCTTTGTCTGCCTGCTGCGCTGATAGATGGGTGATGAGGGCCAGGCCATCCCTACAGGGGAGACTAGTACCGGGCGTCTATAAATAAGCACCGGCAGGGCTACCTTCCACTGGCTGTGATCGTCGTCCTGTCTGTGACGTTAAATAATTCCTGAGGACTTCGGAGGCCGTCCTTAAATGCCTCTTGATCAGCCAGGTGGTCGTTTAAGGGCTGGCTGCACGCTAGGATAAACATAGTGCAGGGCTGGCCACACTCAGCATACACTCGGGGCACGGGTGGGCCGTGTGCACACCTTTAGACAGGCACGCTATCTGGATCGCTCAGGGACGCCGACTCAAGTGACAATGAAGAGGAACTGAGGGAGGGGTAGGTTTCAGGTGATCAGTTTGGGAAAGATTCCACTCTGCAAACAGCCAAACAAATCATTCTATTTTTAATTTTGACGAGTTAGATGTTACAGCCATTGACATCTGACGGACAAATTAGGTAGAATTCTGCTATCTGTTTGTGGGCTAATTAAGTAAAAATAGTTTCCTCTGTAGGAATCTGAACTTACCTGTTGGACCCGAATGTGTAGACTTTGAAATAGCCACCGGCTAGGAAGATTCTCACGCCCGGCCGGGCACCCCAAATCCGGGCTCTCCTAGACGACCCCAAATCCGGGCTCATTTCTGTTTTTGCGAATTGGCTGTCAAGGGGGGGTGAGAGGGGTATAAATTGGTTTGAAAGGGGCTAAAGGGGTTTAAAACAAGGCTGGGCCAGCAACCGAACGGATCACCTGCCCCGGTCCAACCAGGGCCGGACCGGTCCAGGGGGGTTGAACCGGCAAAACCGGATGCCCCTAATGCGCGGATTTGACACCTCGGCAGTGTTGGGAAAGGTCTTGCCCGCCCTAAGTGAAGGCGGGCCTGCATATTCACGAGAGGCCAAGATTTGACATTTTCCATCTGTGGGTATCAGACAGTTGCAGCATGCCCGTTGGTTACAGAGCAACGTGAGCCTCTCCAGGCTCTGTCCGGAAGTTGCAGCATCGATGGGCAGTTGAGCCCAGGGCCTCGTACAGTTAAGGCCCTGGGCGTGTGCTTTCAGAGGCCGACACATCATACAACAGCCACGCACCAATGAGTTCGCAGCATTGTCGGCACAAAGTGGCCGTGAGCCAATGAGATCACAACGAACATGTGGAGGTCCGTGGACTGCCTGGACGTGCCCAACTGTAAAGGGCCCAGGCCCGTGACTGCAACTGGGCCTGGACGCAGGCATTGAGGCCCGACTGGAAGCTACTGGATGCTCACCCAGCCAGGCCCAGAGGCAGCAGAGGCTGAGCTCACTTTTCATATAGGAAAGTGAGCATCGCTGGGCAGGTCATTCTGGCCTGGGCAGGCAATGCGGCAGCGCTGCTGCGTTGCAACTTCGTGTTTGACATGAAGCTGCCGGCTGGGTCGCGCACACGGGCGCTGAGGTGTGAGGTGCACTGCTGGGCAGTGGGCCATAGCCGGGTTGCTGAGCGCAGGACTGGATGGTGATGGTGGTCTTTGGGTGTTGAGAATGCACACTGTGGGAAGTCAGGGGTGATGAGTAGAGATGAGATACATACTTGGTGCATGAGGGAGGTCAGCTATGGTGTTGACGTCATGTACATTGGTCTTCAAGGTCGAAGTGAGCCTGTTTCGTGAACGCTGGTGTAATAGGATAGGCAAGTAGTGTAGGCTGGGCGCTGGGCGCACAGAGTAGGAGCGACATTGGATACGGTGTTGGTGTGGCCTGAGGGCTTGGACATTGGCTCGTGAGTTCATTGTATTGATCTTATCTGGATAGAATTTCGGTGCATTTGCACTCTTTGCTCGCACATGACTACTTGGACATCTGTGTGATTTCGCAACTTGGTTTTCCGTATATCGCTCTTGCTCATATTCCTTGCAATTTGGTATCGGAGCTGGTTCGAATATCGCCATTCCGGCGCTGGGGTCTTGGTTACTTGGTGCGTGGACGAAACTTCTATGCAGTGAGGATACCTTGGCGCTGGCTTGATTAGCCCCACCCAGGTAGAGGGGTGAGGGGCTGGAAGGCTGTGGCGACAGCTGGATAGCTGTGGCGACAGCGGATGTGTGTGGAATGATGCTGACATGGCATTTTGGCTGAGGTGACACGGCATTGTGTTGTTTGTGGTACCGAGGCTATGACAGGTCATCAAAATGCACGTCGGCTCAATTGGTGAGAAATCTGTGGTTTGGGGCAGCTATCTCCAGGTGCGTTGTTCCCTTACCTTATCGTCCCTCTCAATCTCTTCTTACCGTGAGGAAATGAGTCCAACCTTGAGTGTCCTCTCTTTTGTGTAAGGAGTCGTGAGCGCTCTACCTTGAGAGACGACATTCTTCCCGGTGGCGCATCTGGCAAGAGAGGGCGGTGCCTCTGAAGGGCCCTGGTCGAAGCACAGGTCACGGTCACCATGCCAACCCATGGGAGTAGTACACGCAGGCCATGCTGCTTCGTCCTTTGAGGCTCTTTGCTGCGCTGATAGAAGGGGTGTGCGGACTGACCAGCCCTTTGTAGACGCTTACTAGACCGTCTATAAATATTTCTGGTTGGGGGTCTGAACTGTAGTCAGACGTAAGGCTCGTTGTACACGAGGATAAAGAACGGGCAGGCTGGTCATAAGCATACACCTTGGGCACAGGGGTGGGCCGCTAATGCACACCTTAGACACCGCTGCTTGACGATGCTCATCGGTTCGTTGGATACAGGGGAAGGAAGGTTCCAGTTGGTGCTCGAAGATTATTATTATTATTTTTATTTCCAGTTCCACATGCATCTGCGCAAATGATTTATTTTATTTTGATTAGTTGAAGTGTGACAGACTGCGAACACCTGACAGACAGCTTTAGACCAGAACTGAAGTAGTCTACCATTGCCAGTTCTATTTACCGTTGCTGTTGGAGAACTGGTCAGAGTAGAAGTTAGATCATTTGCATGAGTCTGTATATTTTCGGTTAACACCGCCTGAACTGCGTTTTGTCATAAGGACTGAATAATTATTTTATATTTATTTTTACAAATCGGTCAGACCCTATGCTGTGGTAGGTTCCTATGAGGATGCTAGTGCAGACAGTGGTCTGCTATAGCGGAGGTGGGAGTGTAGCAGTGAGTAGGAGGGAGTTGACTAAAAGAGGCTGACATGGCACAAAGCCTTTAGAAAGGCAGCCGTATAAAAGGTCAGATGACCCCACTAAAAGCAGTGTGTAGTGTTGGGTCTGAAAGGCAGCAGCAGCAGCAGCGGAGCAAGAGTGAGTAACGGCTGCCGCAGCAGCAACGGCATATGGATCCAGCAGACAAGCCAATGCGGGCTGATGCACTATCTGCCCAAGTAGGTGTTAGTCAGACAACAGTCTCAAGTCAAATGGCGAGCTCGCAGTTCAGCAAGCCGCTCCAGCTCACGCTAGCCGACCTGGATATTCAAGAGGCAGTAGACATTCCTATTCAGCTAGAAGCCGGGTTCAGTGATGCAGTGGACAGGAAGCAAAGGATTAGAAATAGAGCCATACTAGTTAGTGGAGGAGACAATGATAAAGTTAGGTTAGAGGGATTGGAAGGAAATAGACTTGGTAGCGCAGAGCAGGATCTGCGAGCATGCGATGTAGGCATGCAAGAGTCCATGTCCATGCGAGAAAGTATGGATACTTTTCTCCTTTCCAGCAAGGTTCAGATACAGAGGGTGGACAGTAGACGTGGACAAATTAGTACATCCTTAACTGGGCCGCTCAGTGTCCGGACCGAAAGGCAACCCTTACTTGTCTCATCGTCGGCCATTAGAATGCCGCCGGTGTCAGGTCTTTTCCTAGCTAGGCTTGGTACTGGTCTGTCAGGCGGACAGTTAGCTGTAGACATGCAGGCTCAGTATGCTGCTGCTTCTTTTTTTCAGACGGCCGCTTCTACAGAGCAGCCGCATGTACCACAACCTGCGCAGCCAGCTGCCGTGCAGATTGTTGGTAGGACACAAGGGGTTCCAAGGACTGCGTTATCACAGATCGTGTCCTACTGGTTTAGGAAGGACGAGGTCCCCAACAGCAGGTTGGGAAGGGTGCGGACGCACTCTAGGTACAATGACCTGCGTTTGGAGAGAGAAGGCTATGATTCTTGGGCTGAGGCTCTAAGTTCGGATAACCGGTTTCGGCGGGTGCAGTACAGGGCCCATATCTCTTTGACTAATTTGTTAGTTGAAGAGGCCATTGCGATTGTGCACATCTTCTCTTCTCCTAGCAAGCTAGCCTTGAATGTAGAGGTTTGGCTTGTTAACCCGGGTCAGGGTCAAGGTGATAGGAAGAAGACGAAGTTAACCCAGGATCAGGAGAAGAAAGGGGTTTCCCTGCTCTACGCAGTTTCTGATAGGAATCGGGGAGAGGGAGAGGTAGTCTACGATCCTGGGGGTTAAACAGGGAGGTAGACGACCATAATACTTCCGAGGGAGGAGAGTTGGTCGTTTTAAACAAGGTTGAGGAGACTGGCTTGCATCGAAGCAACCAGTCTAGGAGTCAAAAGAGAAGATCATATTTTAGTTTAAGCGGATTAGAAAGGATCTTGCAAGGGATGTGTGTGGGAGACCTATTTGTGAGTGACTTCTGCAAGGGTGTGGCTTGTACGACTATACCAAGAGGCAGTGTCAAAACAAGCTGGTTACCACGAGGATGCAGCCTCAAGTAGAGGATGGGGCATTTTCAACCTGGGAAAGCACTGCGAGCAGTTCCCAAGGTATACACATCCGGCCCGTGGAGGTTGTAACCACTTCTGCGCATGTTGAGTTGGTAGACGTTCCCTCGCCTTCTCAAATGATGGCCGAGGTTACTGGCTCCTTAGTCACCCCGCAGGCACAACTAGACCACATGATGCTCTGATCATGGGATGTGTCTGAGTCCTTAGAGGAGCTAGCTGGAAAGCGGTCTATGGAAGACCCGTTAGCTGCTTGGGTGACCATAGTTGAGGTCCTGAGGTTGGGTAGAAGTCAGAGTTAAATGGCCTTAACCTGATAGGGCTCTCGCAGACGATGACTCTACCTGGGACTACACTAATCGTTTTTGGTGGGAATGCTGTGCTTTAGGATCTCGTGCAGCGGCCAAGGAGAACTGTAGAGTCTGCCGTAGGCCACACCAGAAAGACGTGTAATCGGTACATGAAAATTGTAATGAGTTCCCCCAGCTAAGGGGGAAGGCAACTGTGGACAATAGTCTCGTTTGCCGGATAGTGACAAGCTTTTTGTGACATTCCGCTGGGAGGTACCACTTCAAGGTTGAATTGTTCCTATGGGGACAGACAGAACCACAGGTGGGATATTTGCCTTATCTCTGAATTTCGGAAGGGCAGGCCTATCAAGCTTCTTCTGAGAAAGAAAATGCTGTCACTAAGTGTCCGTATTCTCCTTGGAACCGGCCAGGAATCATAGACAGGGTGTTTGTCCAACAAATAGTGAACACTCCTTCCCTTGAAGGAAAGAACTATAGGATGACACTTATGTTGAGAGATGACGACTGGCGAATCAAACGAAGGAGAGATGGATAGGGCCATACACGTACCCCTAGAGGTTATTATTTGTATGAAAATCTAATTAAAAGACATGAGGACGCGGAGACTGAGGTTCTCCAAATAAATAATATAAAACTTAATTTATAAACTAGTAACTGGAAAAATTACAATAAACACCTTTGAGTAGTTTATTTTTAGAATGAAAACAAACATATGACTGGGCACTTCGAACTCTGATAGGAAGCAGAGAACCTACACTAATGCCTATGGTTGTCGTCAATGATATACAAAACCTTCTTTCTCCGTCTGGATCTGTTTCTCAAATGTATGAGAAACCAGCAGAACAGAGAAGGTATTTTACAGAAAGGACTGAGCTTTGCAGTAAGCTAGGTAAGCGCTATTCCTAAGATCTCAAGGGCTAACTAAGGTGTGGACAGACCTACATGAGTTATCGGACTGCCTAACCGCTCAAACAATCTAGAGATGTCAACCTTATAACCCTACTGCAGAAAAGCAAGTGGCTGAGATAGAAGGACAGCTAACTGCGAAATACCTTCAGGAAGATATCCTGACGCCCCGTAAAAGGACTTTTTACGTTGTGGCAGTTATGCTGCAAGCTTACACGATTAGTAGACTCCTTCCTATCTGAAACCTGACTACCAACACCACTGTATGCCAGCTCAGAATTTATTCATAAGCAGCTGCTGGGGGTTGTTGATTGCTCAGGATCACTGCACGGTAGACAGACTTTATGTCAAGTACGGAGAATAGGGTAGGCCACGAGCAGTTACATAAAGACTTGACATCTAGAATACTACTATAGCTAATTAAAGGGGTAGTCAGCAGTCTGATCTGATTTCTAATCTGGTTGGTTTCGGGTTTGATTGGGATGGTCACCTCTATAATACTCGCATTTGTGTCAAGCCTCTTAGATCTGATTAAGAATGTGTGCTGCCCCCAACCATGGATAGAGAAATCGAAAAGGCGGCCTCCTTGAAGTCATATCTTCTGCATCTTCCAAGAAGTTCTACTGCACCAAATCACTGCAGACATCAGGTGGACGAAGAATTTAAAGGCTTCTCACGGGGCTTTCAAAGCTAAGGGGGAAGGTATGCGAGGATTTGACATCTCGGCAGTGTTGGGAAAGGCCTTGCCCGTCCTAAGTGAAGGCGGGCCTGCCAATATGTGCCAAGGCCTGAGTACAGGCCAGTGTGATCACCCTAAAGGGGTTGTATATGTGTGGAAAATGAGCCCTTGCGGGGCTCTTAACAGACATGCTGTGGCATACTGTGTAGCCACACGGGCCTGCAGGGCCCGTCCCGCATTCTCAGCCTAAAAGCCTAGAAATAAGGGCTTACAGGCACCATGTCGTTTCAGCCTGAAAGACTGAAAACGAGGGCCTGCAGGCCCTATGTCGTTTCAGCCTAAAACAGGGCTTTTCAGCCCTGAGACTTTTCAGCCTGAAACGGAGGGCCACTTTCGGGTCCTCATAAGATCGTCCTGCCCTAGAACTCAGGCAACAAACCAGGGTTTCGGGAACAGGCTATTTTTGGCCTGTTCCCCGCGCCAGCCTCAGCAGGAGCTGCAGCGCCAGCCCCTGGCTTGCCCTGGCATTGGCAAGAGCAGCCTCCTGGACTGCCTCGCCCTGCAGCTGCAGGCAGTCAGGAGGCAGGCCGAGTAGTACATAGGGGATTCCCATGCACTTCACGGGCAGGTAGTTGGACAGAAGGCAGGAGGCAGTCTTCAGGATTCGGCCGCAGCACTCTGGAGGAGTGCTGCAGGAGTAGCTTAGCGCTAGCAGTAGTCTTCAGCGCTGGGCGCTAGTAGCTGCAGGAGTAGTCTTCAGCGCAGGGCGCTAGTAGTAGTAGTAGTGTTGGAGAGAGATGGATGGCAGAGGCCAGTGGTACTTACCTGTGGCGCCATAGCTCCAGCTCCATCTTCGAGGTACCTGCATCAAGGCGCCAGCTTCACAGGTTAGTACCGGACAGAGAGAGAGAGAGAGAGAGAGAGTTCTTCTTCTTCCTCTTCTAAGTCCGCCATCTCTTCTTCACTCTCTCACCCCCTGACTTCTCAATATCAGCGGACTACGACAGAGAGAGAGAGTTGTGACTTGAGACTTGACGACATTGGATCCAGACTCGACATTTGGATTCAGACATTGGACTGGGATTATTTGGGACCTGTATCGCAGACTTGGTGTTGCCGACATTCCCATCTTTCTCTCTTCTTCGTCTAAACCCCCCTCCTCTTCGTCTGTGTATGGCGGGGACTGGCGCATTCTTCCGTGTGAGCGCCAGGCCCCTTCACACCATGGAACGATGATGATGTATGTTGGGACTGCATTGCAATATTGATTGTTCGGAACACTGGTATCTAAATCTTCCGCTAGACTATCTTGTACTTTGTATGAGAGGTCGGTTCTTGTTCTGGTCTGCACCTTTATGGTATGCAACAGTTTGGTATCGGAGCGGACCTCTCAATCAGAGGACCCGCTCAATCAAGTAGCCAGCTTGCTTGATCTATTGATCGGTTATTAGTAAATCAAGTAGGACTTCGTCAAATCTCTAAAAAAAAATTATTTCTCGAATATCTGAAAATTCGTGATAGTAGCATTTCGTTTTATCTGAAAATTTCTGATATTACTATATTAGCATTTCGTTTTCACGCAACAAACATCTTGAAATTCCTGATAATAGCATTTCGTTTTATCTGAAAATTTCCGATGTTAGTATTTCGTTTTTACGCAACAAATATCTGAAAAGTTCTGAAAGTAGCAGTTCGTTTCTCTGATATTAAAAATCCGAAATTTCTGATATTCGCATATATAGCCGAAAATTTCTGATGTTAGTATTTCGTTTTCTAGGCATATTAGGATTACGATAGAAATGGTCATATTCTCGGAAACCGGATTTATCCTTATCTGAAAATCGAATCTCCATTCTATCTCGCAAATTTTTTTTGAAAACCGAAATCTTGCGAAGCCTATCAACATTTCGTTTTAGGCATATTAAAGAGGTTTTCATATTCTCAGAAACTAGATTTAGTTCTTTTCTGAAAATCGCATCTCTACTCTATTTCGCAATTATTTTTTTTTTCAAGATCGCATTTTTTTGAAAACCGGAACTTTGTGGAACCTGGCCTAGATCTCGCTCATAGTACTCTTCTGACATGCCTCACCCATAACAGAGCGACAGATATACAAAAAAAAAACAAAAAAGAAGTAGTCCTCTTTTTTTTATTTTTTTATTTTTATCTGTTGATTAGGGCCGGGAGGAAAGTATTGTTGGGTGGGTTCCCTACCTGCGTTTTCCCTCCCACCCACCCCTTTGCCTGCATTCGGGTTTGGTACAGTGCCATGTCAGCAACAGTGCCATGTCAGCAGTGCCACGTCATCAGCAGTGCCATGTCAGCAGTGCCACATCAGCAACAGTGCCACGTCAGCAACAGTGCCACGTCAGCAACAGTGCCACGTCAGCAGTGTCACGTCAGCAGTGCCACGTCAGCAGTGCCACGTCAGCAACAGTGCCATGTCAGCAGTGCCACATCAGCAACAGTGCCACGTCAGCAGTGCCCCGCCACCATGACGGGCTCAGCTCTGGGCATGCCAGGCCAACTGGCCAACGAGACCATTGCCGAGTACAAACAGCGGTTCCAGACTCAGCTCGCACTGATCGAGGCTGAGGAACAGCGCCAGGTGGCAGCCGAGGCTGTCCACCTACAGGCTGAAGCGGCAGCAACAGCTGAGAAGCAGCGGCTTCAGGCCGAAGCAGACGCAGATACCCAGGCACGCCACAAGGAAGCCCAGGATCTGCTACAGCGGCATGAAGCCACCAGCATCGAAAAGCTTAAGTTTTGGCACTTTGAACCATCCGAGGAGCACGACGACGCGACACCGGAGGAGCAGCACAAGGAATTCATGGCCAAACTCGTGACTAGGTTGGTTTACACTTGTAACCACCTGCAGTCCGAGCTGGCGAACCTCCAGCGGGCCATGCGGAACCACAACGCTCAGCACGAGGATGGAGCACGGGCACTTGATTCCCGTGTACAGGACTTGGAGCAAACTGCACCAAAACCGGAGGCTGGCAAGTCCAGCAGTGCACCCTCTGCCCGCCAACTGGAGGAACGTGTCGACCACGTAGTAGCAATGCTAGGAGACATCAGCACCTTCGCGGCGCCGGCCACCATCAGTAAGCAGCTGGACACCTTGAAGACCGAGGTTCAGCAACTGCACCAGCTGCCTAACAAGGATGGCAACACCCCGCAACATTACAAGATGCCGACATTCCAAATGGAGAAGTTCGATGATTACATGCATCAAGACCCGGTCATCTGGTGGGAGGGCTTTACGACGCAACTTCGGATTCTGATCGTCCCCAAGCACTTGTACATCGGCGCACTGTTCCTCAACTCAAAGGCGGATGCCAGATCTGGCTGAGCCACCTGACAACCGTCCACGGGGTCGACGTCGCAGATTTGAAAGATAAGATCTCTTGGGAAGAGTTAACACGGCTATGAAAGAAGCGGTTCATCGTGGACGACGCCCCGATGCTCGCCATCAACCGCCTCTTTGCTATGACGCAAGGCAACACATCGACACGTGACTGGCTCACGGAATGGCAAAAGATCGCGGCGGCGCCGAATCTCGAATTGCCATTTTCGCACCTGAGCCGGGAGTTCTACAACCGGTCATGTGCCGCCTTGAGCCTTGCACACGGTGATCATGAGCAATACGTGACCTTCGCCGAAATCATCGACAAGGCAAGGGAGATCATCAAGACTAATAGGGCGGCTGCACACGAGAAGTCAACGTGGCAGCCAACCTATGTGGAGAAGGGAAAATTTGGTCCGCGTCCGCAGCATGTCGCTGCAGTCCACACGGACAACATTGTGGAAGACCCGGCAACCACCCAAGCATCACGTGAGGGAGATCAGGTGGCTGCGGTCCAGCCGCGAAGCAACAACAAGTCCCGAGGAAACAGGAAGGCGAAAATTGCATCACCGGCCGGAAACGGAGAACCAACACCATGGGTCAAGTTTCACTTGACCGAGGCGGAATACAAATGACGTGGCCGCTACGGCTGCTGCTATTGGTGCAACAGCACCAAACACAAGACCTCCCAATGCCCGGATCAAGGCAAGGAGGATGTTCGGCCTTGCATCAACTCGGGAAACTAAGTTGCGCGGGAGGTGAGACGACTCCACCTCTCACTCCGCCAGATTCGGCCGCCTTGCTAGCGGCCTCCTACACATCTGGGGAGGATGCGAATGTCGTAAGTTCTCGGTACACTTACGAGGACTATGCTGTCCACTTGGTCCCACCGTTGGACCAACCGCTCCACGTGCAACCATCCACCGCATGCACGGTTTCACTACCATCGGCAACCGAGTCGGCAGCTTCGCCGCCATCTATAGCCAGGGATTCGACGATATGGTCAAGACTTGAAGAGCTCGACCCGTTGACGTTTGCAGACTTCCAATGGATGCCCCTTCCCCGGTCTGGTCGATTGCCGAAACCGCATTGCAACGTGCTCATGGCACAATTGCGGGATTACTTGCACACTACAGTACCAACTCCGTTGATGGACGCCGGAGTAGAGGTTGTCGACCTTCACGCCTACATTGCGAAGATCGACCGCGAGTTCAAGACACAACGGTACGACGACGTCGACGCACCATTGTTATATGTACGCATTCAGATCGGAGAGGCGACCTGCAGCGCTTTGATCGATTGCGGAGCATCTCGCAACTACATGAGCCAGGACTTTATGGTACGCGCCGGCCTTGGCCCACGCGTCCGGAGGAAGTCCCAGCCTACGCAAGTCACGTTGGCAGACGGTCGCACGCACAAGTCATTCGACCGGTGCATTGATGACGTCCCCGTGTACTTTGCCCCGCATGCAAGCGAGGCGGTGTCCTTCGATATTTTGGACACCAAATTCGACATGATCTTGGGCATGTCATGGCTGCGAAGCGAGGATTACCCGGTGAACTTCTACCGCCGCACCGTTCACGTTCGTGATCGGAATGGAGTACTAGTCCCATGCACGGTGCCTCCTCACCCTTCGATTAGCTGCCACATGGTGTCCGTCGCAAGCATGCGAGTTTCCATCATCAGAGACGACATCGAGGAGATGGGGGTGTGTTTTCTCCACGCCCTCACGCCCCATGACGCTTCATCGACGGACTCATCTTCGGACCCACGCATCATCGAGCTTCTCGACGCCTACGGCGACGTGTTCGAAGGCCCGCACGGAGTAGTGGTGGATCGACCCATCCGCCACCAGATCATCCTCGAGGACGGGGTTGTACCTCCGTGTGGTTGCATCTACCGAATGAGCGAGGAAGAGTTAAGTGTGCTACGGGCACAACTCGACGACCTTCTTGAGAAAGGCTGGATTCGGCCTAGCTCCTCGCCATACGGTGCTCCCGTTCTCTTCGTCCGGAAGAAGAACAAGGATTTGCGGTTGTGCATTGATGATCGCAAGCTCAACGCGCAAACAGTCAAGAACGTCGGCCCTCTTCCACTCATCGACGACCTCCTCAAACGGTTGGGCGGCGCCAAGTTCTTCTCCAAGCTAGACCTCAAATCGGGATATCACCAACTCGAGATCTGGCAGGAGGACTGCTACAAGACCGCGTTTAAGACTCGATATGGGCATTTCGAATGGCTGGTTATGCCTTTTGGCCTTACGAATGCCCCAGCCACATTCCAAACGGCTATGACAACGGAGTTCTGACACACGTTGGATAGATTCGTACTCATCTACCTCGACGACATCTTGGTGTACAGCCGGAGTTTGGACGAGCATGTGGAGCACCTGCGCACCGTTTTGGAGCGGCTACGACAAGCCAAGTACAAAGCCAACCGCGACAAATGCGAATTCGCGCGGCAAGAGCTGGAGTACTTGGGACATTATGTGACGCCGCAAGGCATCCGTCCGCTTGCGGACAAGATCGAGGCCATCCGCGTATGGCCCGAGCCCACCAACACCACGGACGTTCGTTCATTCATGGGATTGGCGGGCTACTATCAGCGATTCATCACCGAATACTCGAGGATTGCCGCACCTTTCGTATTCGATGACGACGCACGCCGGTCATTCCAAGCACTTAAGACGGTCATGGTCATGGCACCCGTCCTTAGCATCTATGACCCCGTCCTGCCTACGAGAGTGACAATAGACGCTCCCGGCTATGGCATTGGGGCAGTCTTGGAACAACACGACGGCGAGGACTGGCACCCTGTGGAGTATTTCAGCCACAAAGTGCCTCCCATCAATTCACTTGATGATGCAAGGAAGAAGGAGCTACTCGCGTTCATGATGACTCTCAAGCGATGGCGGCACTTCCTCCTTGGGCGTCGAAGGTTCACATGGGTCACGGACAACAACCCATTGACCTACTACGAGACGTAGAATACGGTGAGCAGCACGATCGGACGATGGATGTACTTCATCGACCAATTTGACTTCACACCGAAACATCTTCCTGGCCTCTCCAATCGCGCAACAGATGCACTCTCGCGAAGACTCGATCTTTGCGCTATGACACATCATGCCTTCGCATTCGACGAGGAACTCCAGCGACAGTTCATCCGGGGATATGAGTCTGATCCGGACTACGCCACGTTGTATGCGCAGCTATCTTCGGATCACCCGCCGGCCAGCCACTATCGCATTGTCAACGGGTACTTGCTCCTCCACTCGAGAGGCAAGGACTTATTGTGTGTCCCACGAGACTGTCGTCTTCAAACTCGCCTTCTCGGGGAGTACCATGACTCGCGACTCGCCGACCATTTCGGAGTCAATCGCACTATTGCACGACTTCGACAATGATTCCGATGGCCCGACCTCATTACCGATGTCACTTGGTATTGCGACTCTTGCGAAGTTTGCCGACGAAGCAAGCCCCGCAACCGCAATCCCTATGGCGAGTTGCGCCCGATGCCTATCCCACAGGAACCCGGTCTCTCCATTGCCATGGACGTCACTAGTCCGTTCCCCCGCGACCGGCTCGGGCACGACGGCATCCTCATGGTCGTGGACCGTTTGAGTAAGTATGCGTGTTTTCTCCATTGCAAATACTACTCCACGGCTCCCGAGCTGGCACGCCTCTTGCACACCGGCTGGATTTGCGGCCACGGTGTACCGGAAGACATAGTTAGCAACCGCGACACTCGCTTCATGTCGATATTTTGGACCGCTCTCATGCAGGAGTCCGGCACGAAGATGAAATCAAGTTCGGCTCGGCATCCACAGACAAACGGGCAAACGGAGCGGGCACATCAAACCGCTCAAATGACGCTTCGTACGCTCATCCGTCCGGATTAGAAAGATTGGGTTGACCGCCTCCCCGACATCGAGTTCGCCTACAACACTTCGGGGCACCCGGCGATCGGCGTGACTCCATTTGAGTTGCACGACGGTGGACGGAAAGGCCGAATCTTCGCCGATCTGCTCCTCCCATGACCAGCCGACATCGACACCGCTTGCTCTCCCACTTCCGTCCGGAAGTACAGGGAATTGCTGGCTCAAGCCCGCGCGAACATGCAAAAGGCTCAAGTCCGCATGCAGTAGCAAGCCAACAGGCGTCGCGTGCCATGTCCAATCCGCGCCGGTGATCTGGTTTGGGTCTCTGCGGAAGAGTTTGCACTGGAACAGGATGTTTCACGCAAACTGCTTCCCAAGTGGTTTGGACCATGGCCCGTAACATCAGTAACGGGCGATGAGCCCGATGGCCCTTCATTTGTGATCAACATTCCCCCGCATCTGACGGTCCATCCAGTCTTTCATGCCTCGAAGCTGGCGACATACACACCAGCTAAGAGCGACGACTTCCCGGGCCGACGATCGCAGGACCCTCCTTCTATGGATGGTCATCAGGGAGTTGACCGCGTCATCACGGATCGCAAGTACGGCAGGAAGCCTCGACAGTACAAAGTTACATTCAAAGCATGCGATCCCGACGACACTCGGTGGATTTCAGGAACAGATTTGAAAGCATCCGCACCGCTGATCTACGCTCACTACGAGCAACAAAGGTTAGCTCAGGGAGCTTCACGACCTGCCCCTCCCACCCGGACTGTGGTCCCTCCCTCAGACAGACAGCTTCGCCCTCGCAGGTAAGCTCGGTCTTTCAAGGAGGGGGGGGGTGTGGCATACTGCGTAGCCACACGGGCCTGCAGGGCCCGTCCCGCATTCTCAGCCTAAAAGCCTAGAAATAAGGGCTTACAGGCCCCATGTAGTTTCAGCCTGAAAGACTGAAAATGAGGGCATGCAGGCCCTATGTCGTTTCAGCCTAAAACAGGGCTTTTCAGCCCTGAGACTTTTCAGCCTGAAACGGAGGGCCACTTTCGGGCCCTCATAAGATCGTCCTGCCCTAGAACTCAGGCAACAAACTAGGGTTTCCGGAACAGGCTATTTTTGGCCTGTTCCCCACGCCAGCCTCAGCAGGAGCTGCAGCGCCAGCCCCTGGCTTGCCCTGGCATTGGCAAGAGCAGCCTCCTGGACTGCCTCGCCCT